GCTGACATTTTGGAGATCCAGGGTTTTGTATCTGAAAGTGACTGTGATGGGAACAAAAAAAAAAAAGAGCTTTGGAAGTTTGAAATACTGAGCTTTCTAGTTTACAGGCAGCTGCTTTTGTCTCAGCAGAATATGCCGGTCTGTGGAGCTACAGGCTTTTTATTGTGTCGAGCTTGAGTCCATTTATTGTCCTTGGCTTCAGCCGTAATGATTAATGATGCTTGGTATGACGGTGCACTATAGCCAGCTCAGCCAAGCTCAAAAGACGAGTGCTCGGGTGTTTTGTCTCCACGCAGCCAGACATTTTGACTTTAGATTTGAACTGTCAGGTGAGTTCCTCATCCTGTTCAGTGAAAGTGGAACACCTGTATGCTTGCTGGGCCACTGTGTTGAGTTTTCAAAGAAGAAAACAGGTTTTCCGCAGAGAGTTGATGAAAGCTTTTCATCCACACTCCTTGATGAGAGACTGTAGGGATTATGTAAACAGGCAACAAAGAGGAATACAGTATGTCAGTAATCTCTCAGTCTCCAGCTTTGTTAGCCATGAGTTGCTGCATTGTTGTTGAGCGGAGGCTGCTTTCAAAGCTGTCTGTTTTTAAGCACGAGCCTTTTTTTCCAAAATTTGAATTCAACTTTTCAGTTTGCTGCTGCACTGCGGCAAATAGATGGGGGCAATTATTTAAAAAAAACCTCTTTGAAATGCTTCCTTGTGTAAAGTGTGCATTCATAAAAGTGCTTTTGATGGATCTAAGAGCTGCATATTGTATGTGTGCATGCGCTAAGCTGTGTTTTAAGTGCTTCGTTCCTGAAAGGCCCCTGAATGCCGCCTGTCCCCACCTGCTGCACCACACTGACACAAATCCAAACTAGAATGGCCTCGCTCAACTCTGATGCTCTGCGGTTGAACCGCTGCCAGTGACGAGCATAAACTTCGGCAGGCTGGCTGTCACAACAGCATCGGAAACCAACTTTGTGATTACTGCTTGTTGGCATTGTGGGAGTCCAAAACTTTATAGGAGCTATAACTAAGATTTACGCCACCCTATAGCACAAAGTGATCATAATGTATCTGCGGGAGGATGATGGGGTTTTAGATCAATACAAAGCAACTACTTTGGGAGGTTTAGACATATCAGGCTTTCAAGCAAACCTCGTTGTAGTAGAAGTTTCAAAAGTAATGGTGGTTCTGTGAATCACAGTTGACGCTGAGGCTTTAATTGTTTGTCGGAAAGAAAAGTGGGAAACTGGTCCGCACGGCCTCTCATGGATTAGAATCAAGTTTCAATTGAATCTGAGGCTGCCAGCAGCCTAAAGGAAAGGTTCTGATGTTTACAAGGCTGTTGTAATACAATACTCAGCTGACACATATATTTTTATTGGTTGCTATACTAATTTCTCCTCTCCAGGCTGGCTTTGACACACTGTTATTAAGGTTTTTTTCCCCCTTGCCTTTTGTGCATGTAAAAACCCAAAGTCCACTCCAACAGAAGTCTTTCCCACTGCTCCTTACCTGATTGAAACACCTCATTTGAAGTCCAGGCTTTTCTTTCATTATTTATCTATGTCACCATTTTGGCCTGTGTAGCAGCTCGCTTAGCCACACCTTTAGACAAACAATGAGTAGCTTACTTACAGTCTGCGATATTTCCTCTGCTTCTTTTAGAGATACATCCCCGCATTCATGGATCTGTTGTAATGACACACAACCAACCTTGCCTTGCTTTCAGCTGACCAATCAGAACAGACCGAGTTTCTTCAAGAGGGGGGCCTTTAAGACACAGGAGCTAAAACAGAGCATCTCAGACAAGAGAAGAGCAGCGATGTACGGCACATGGAAAGAGTTTGTGTTTTTGAATACTGAAGCATGTTCTTGTAGACCCCCCCAAAGCTTAATAATTATAAACCTGTAAATGTGCATAATGGGATCTTTAAAGCAAGATTAGGCCAAATCAAGAAGGTACTTTCTGGTTTATTTAACAGTGTTTTCTTGCTGAGCCACTGGTGGTAGTCACGTTTTTTATTATTCTTTTCCTCTGACAAAATGCGAAAATTGAGTCGATGTGCTTCTGCCAGAACAAATACGCAAAGATATTTGGTTAGTCTGCTATACGGGCTCAAAATGAAAGAATAACAAGAATATTTTCCAGCACTTTGCTTGTTAATGCATACGTTATCTTTCTTGGTCATTAGCCAGCCAACTGTTGGAGAAGTGTAGCATTAATTTTGATTCACTACACATCTGCAGAAGCCCTCGCCGAAGAACTGCTGACATTGCTGGTCCTTTGTCAAGATAAGAGGTTAATAACAGAGTGGATGATTTGAACTGACATAGAAAATCTGAAAGGGGAGTCTCACTATGCAGCAGTGATTTAGCTTAGTGGAAAAACAAGCGTTCTTATGTAACTAAATACCAGCTACTGTACAAGAGGATGACAGGAAATGCTGAAATGCAGCGGAACAGCTACGCAAGTGTGTCACTGAGTTCACGTTTTCATTGATAAGTGAGTCTGTGTGCTATTTTTGTCTTTATATGTTATGTAGTGTGATTCTTGGGGCACATTGGAGCTAAAACTACAGTTTGTGTGAATTTGAATCCATGGTCAACAAATGTCTTTCCCAAATAAATTAGAAAGAGCATCCTTTCCAAACGTTCTAAATCATGTAAAACCAACATAACACCTAGTAAACGTGGCAGTGACTGTATTTTAAGCCTCTCTCCAACTACAACATGGATTTCCATTCAACATTGCTTAAATTGCAGCCGTTTCTGGATCGTCGTGTAATTACAGTGAGTTTAGAGAAATCCACCTTTCAGTTCACAGTTTGAACAACGTTCATAGACTTGCAGCTCCAGTCAATCTAATTTGAAACCCGGTATGATGAAGGGCTCTGCATGGCCGCACTTGTGTCATTATAAAAAATGGATGGACAGATTTAAATACCCCTTTGTAAAAATTTCTCCATGAGTCTGCCACTTGGCTGCCTCCTCACCAAATCAGAGCTGGCACTGATCCCCACAAGTTGACTGTTTATGCTTGTACAGATGCCAGTTTCCCAGAACAGCAATTAACATTTGCAGAGTAAAAATGGTCTGACAAGATGTACTCTCAAACAGTCTCACTGCTGCACTTGATGAGTTGGACTGAGGGAGTTGGAGAGGAGGCCAGTTTGAACTTGTAGGTTTTGATGCTGGTTCAAAACTTAAGAGAATCTATTAAACAAAACTGCTAGATGTGTGTATGTTAACTGATTAGGATTTATTACATAAACTTGAGTGTGGTTGTACCCCCACAGATACATTGGCTCCTCTTCAGCACAGTTGATATGGTTGAGGACATTTTAGAAAATCATATTTTTTGTCAGTTTTGTTTCACTGGTCTGGTTTGTTCAGCCACCAAAAGTATTTCATCTGAAGAAACCTCCTCAAAGTTTTTTTAACATCCAGGTAACTCAGTAAAGCTGGAGCGCACACAAACCTGTAAACCTAATATGTTGCTGCCTTCTGATAACATTTGTACTACTATCAGCTAAAGGACAACATATGTGATCACAGAACAAGTTGAAGGAGAGATGCCAGGCGCACAAACCTGCCAAACTGCAAAGAAATGTTTTCAGTGTTTGCATTCTTGTGAAGACAAGTTGGGAGAAAATGTTCCCCCCAAGGACATGAGAACCAACAGCATTTATTATTTTTATTTTTTTTGATTTGATGATTACCTTAAGCCAGCTTAGAGCCAAATATTTGCAGGCTTTCAGTACCACAAAACATCAAATCAGCTGGTGTCACACAGTAGTTTCTGACAGCTAACGTGCTAATCAGAGAAATCCTCTTGCTCAGGCCTTTATCTGGAATAAAACCCCGCATGCACGTGGCTCTCGAAGACGCACAAAAGAAGGCCGCTGGGTTTAAAAATGCTCCTGGAACAAGCTGGCCACAACTGTCGCCATGTTGTGTATATTGCGAAGGAGCCTGTTAACGCTGTATCCAAAACAAGGGCATGGGTGGAGACGGACCAGATGTGGTCCTTGGCAGATGGTTCTCGAGGAGATTCTCCAAGCTTGGACAGTGCAGACTACATGACATCAGTAGCAGATGGTTAACTCGTTAACACCCACCCTCCCAAAACACACAGAAAAGGGATCTGCAGAAGGCCCAAAAGTCTGAATGCCACTTTAACGGCTCTGTGGTGCAATTCTTCATGAAATGTTGGCAATAAAGCCTAATTCCAAAAGCTAGAATGCTGCTCATTGTGTTAAATGCGTTTGAAGCGCAGCTGAAGTTTGTTACTAAAATGCTGTGTGACTATTTTTGATTTAAATATGGATAATTCACTGTGATGACCAAGAAAGCCAGTAAAAGTATCTGATTTGTAATGTGTGTAATTGTGAAAGATTTGGTAAAAAAAGGGGAAAATAAAGCTTTAAAAAAAAAAAATCATTAAACTAGCTCTGTTTGATCTCTCTTGCAGCTCGCTTTCAACTGAGATGAACCGAGTGAACCGGAGGGAAGGGGGGCAGCAACAGCACTTGGCACGCTCCATGTGTTGTGATGCCTGCCGTGTCCTGGTTTGGCCCTTCACATCAAATGACCAAACAGTGAAGGAAGTATTAACAGCACATGTTGTGGTTTCACAGATACAATAGGAAAAAAATAAAAACTTCAGACCGCTGAATTCAAAGAAAACAAGAGGAAACCGAGATAGAAATGGAAAAATATGAGGAAAAAAAATAATCAGTCAGTGCTATTTCAGCTCTTCTGGAGCAGTAGTACTAAAGACAGGCTTTTCTGTCGTAAACATGCCAGTCAGCCGGCCTTGAATTTAAAGTATCTGCTGAAAAATCACCTTCAGTATATCTTCAGACACCAGACATTAATTTAACTCACAAAACATTCATAACGAGAAGGCTTTACACTGACATAACATTAAATGATTGCATTCCTCTGCTCTGTTTATGAATGGAGCTCCATTTACGAGTGAATAAGTTCCCAAACGACTTCCTTTTCAGCAGTAAAGCAAATATGTTTATTAAGCACTTTAATATACATCAGAAAATTCCACTTCATATAATACAGGAATTCTTTTTAAATGAAAGTCGAATGTACATGGGAAGCTATTTACAAACCAATCACTGACAGTCAAATCAAAGATGACAGACAAAACACAGTCAAGACAAACAAGATAACTGCTTAGTAAGACTATACAGAATGTTTTCCAACACTGTTTCTAGACCTGATCCTGCCTTGAATCCTTCTGTTGACCCTTCATGGCATACGTTTGAGCTACTGTAGTACTGAAGAGCTGAGAGCTTTCACTAGGGCTTATAAATGTTTGTGCATGCGATAGGTTTCTACTCCCCACAATCCCAGTTCTTGGCGAAAAATAGCTCACTGTTAACATTATGAAAAGCCTGCAAAAATATGACACAGCCTGTAAACGCTAACGCAGCTCCACGCAGTTCATGAGAAACAGATGCTTCGGTTCCCTCAGTGTCACAGCCGAGCACCTCCTTCCCTCCGTCTCCCACAGGGTTAAGTCCTGTTGAACTGATACTCAAGCTTCTCACAGGGAGGAGGTGGGCCAGTGTGCTGTTGCAACTTTGGCTTTGCAGCTCTGCAATATCAGCGAGAAGTTCTCTTAATGGCTGAACCCTTTTTGAGCCTTCTTGTGTCATGCCCCTGAAAAATCCAGCAGGAATTACTGAAAATTAACCACATGACGATAAGAAAACAAAGCTTGAATTTAGTTTCTTGCACTGCAGTAGGTTATACATGTAACTCTGCGGACAAATGCGTTGTTTTTTTTTGTGGTGGTGTGTGTGTTTTTTTTAAGTTCACTGCTTTCACTTGAAATCGCTGCGTTTAGCACCAAACCTTTGCTGACGGTACACAATGGGTTATTTAAATATTCTTTATGCACACACAAAAACATAACACACAACACAACAACTGAAAAATCCCATAGGGACAAAATTGACATTTTCTTTTCTCTCTCTCTTTTTTTTTTTTTACACATTTTCAATGATCCTCCCTCATTCTTACATTTTCGTAATAATACACAAACGCACGAAGCCAACAAAACTGGGAGTCCAAAATAACTGCAGGCAACTTCTGAACACAGCACCATGGTAATGTAACACAAAATGCAACGAAAGTGGCTTTTTTCCAAAAATAAATACGCTTGTATATACTTGTGAAGTAAATCGCCATAGCTATTAACATTTTACACACAACATAGGTTTAGCACACTGATCAAAGTTAACACAGATTATTTGGGGTCTCTAGAAAGGCAGACTATCAATGCGCTTAAATTCATACCATGGCATCAGTTACTGTTATGTCCTCTGGTTTGTGACAATGTACCCAGTAGTACATTGCTGTCAGTGTGAAAAAAGTAAACAGAACCAACATAATATAAAATAAAAATTAAAAAAAAAAAAGCATTGGTATGTTTCCCTCAAACAATCTGATAAAACATGGATGGGATACAAAGTGAATAGAACAAATGCATGTCTGTCATTTTACTCTTTTAAAAGTGCATACACTGTTTATTAAATAGCATTACATTAAATTAAAATGATAGTTTGCATGAGTACATGAACAAGGCTGTAACAGATGTAGGCACATCGAAGTATCAGTTCACAAAAGCCTCAGGCAGCAATCAACAATCTTCCCTAGGTATTGTTTTGAGGTCTCCCACTGATGGAAAAAAAAAGTACTTTTTATGCAGATGAAAACAGTTGCTTTGGCACAATCCCTCCAACGTCTGCATGATGAATGGCATTCAACACATCTGAAACAGTACAGGAATGATTTGGGTTAATGTTTTGTTCGGGAGGAAAATGTCTGCTTATCCAGACTGAGGCATTCTTCATGCAGGTCAGATCAAATCCAACTAATGATGGTTCTGTTGAGTGCAATCCAGTATCAACTAGGTGTCAGTTACTAGTCCCTGTATCAGTCACTGTAAATGAACAGACAGGTCAAATACTTGTGTATTATGTGCTGTCACCCTGGCCATGATTTCAACTTCTAGACATATGCTTGATGTGTTTCAACAAGAGCACATACTGGAGGTTTATTTTGATACCTGTCTCTTACCAGCTATAATGGAGTCTCCTTTTTGTAGTTAAACCCAGGGTCTGATCCTTCAATCTGCAGTTTTAGGGCTTGTTTAAGGCTTAGCTCGGTTTCCCCAATGGGATAGTTCTCTAGAACATCCTGGTGGCCCCTGTTCTGCACAGTCCGAGGAACTGATACCCTACCCAAGAAAACCTGATTACCCTGTAGATGATAGTTGGGGTTGGTCATGATTCCATTCCTCTTTTTCTCAGAACAGCTCTGCTGCTGGATATAGAACTGATCTTGGCATTGCCCTCTTTCCTGCTGAATTGAACCACCAATCATGATTTTACAATGAGGATCCTTTACGGCAATGTTAGCGACTGATTTGTTGAGGGCGATTCTCTTGTCAAACTGGGTCATTTCATACTCCAGAACCTGACCTTGGGATGATCCGCTGTTCTTGGTTTTCTTTTTGTCTCCCAGTGCTCCTTTGCCATTTGACGTCCCATTTCCAGTCTTAGATCCCTTTGTTGACTTCAGACTAGGTTTTAACTGAGACCAGTCAAAGTCATTGGATGGAGATGATGGCTGCTGACCAATGGACTTTGTCGTAGAAGAAGGGGACACAATAGACTGTCTGCTCCGACTGCGAGGCAGTGAGTGCTGTTGAATTTGTTCTGTAAATGTCAGTCCATGAAAACTGTCAATTGGCACAGTCTGCGCAGTGGCTGTAGAGGATGTGGTTCTCAAGGAGGAGTTCTTTGAACTCTTGAGGGAATTATTCGACAGGGAGGATTTCTGTCGATCTACAGTGGAATCAGGAGACTCTGATGGTGAACTGAAAGCATGGACAGGCCCGTTGGGTAGACCACGTCCAGACGACTGCATATCTCCTGCCCCAGTGCTGCCAGAACTGCTAGATTTGATGGTGAGGGACTGCATTTTCCCCGTCACTGACAGCGGCGTTTTTTCCTCCATGGTGTGTACTGGAGATGGGTTGCAGCCATTTAGAGTTGTGGCTCCGTATTTTTCCAGAAGTTTTATGATCATTGAATGACCACCTTTGGCTGCCACTCTCATTGCTGTTCGTCCAAACTGATCAGCGTGGTTGGGGTCAGCACCGTTTTCAAGAAGTATTTGCACTACGTCGATGTGACCCTCCTGGGCAGCGATGCCAAGTGCGGTTGCTCCCTGGTTGCATGTATGATCCACATGTGTGCCATTCTCTATCAAAAACTGCACGACTTTTGTATGGCCTTGCCATGCAGCGGACTGGAGGGCGGATCGCTTCTCATTGTCACAGGCATTCACATCAGCATGATAGTTAATCAGCAGCCTTACCATTTCAACATGCCCTTGCCAGCAGGATACATGAAGGGCCGTTCTGCCCTCAGTGTCACAAGCTTCCACATTTGCACCGTTTTCAAGGAAATACTCTGTCATGGCAAGCTGATTTTCAAGTGCCAATATGTAGAGAGTTGGGCGTCCGTCTGCATCTTTGTAGTCTATATCAGCACCGTGGCTCAGCAGCAGTTCAACAATGTCCCTGTGACCTTCTAGTGCAGCTACCCTGAGTGCATTCCTCCCATCATATCCCCTCTGGTCAATACAAGACTTGTTTTCCAGAAGAATTTGCACACAGTCATAATGTCCCTCTTGTGCAGCTAATATCAGCTGTATTCTACCATCATTGTCTACCTCTGTGCAACGAGCACCTTGTTCAATAAGGGCATCGCACACTTGGCGGTGGCCCTCAAATGAAGCCATGTGTAGCGGGGTCCAGCCTGCATCATCCCTGTGATTCTCATCCAGACCTCTGTCCAGCAGAGTTCTGACCACCTCCACGTTACCCTGAGCAGATGCAATGCTCAGCACAGTCCTTCCCTCACTGTCAATGCTATCAACAGCAGCTCCCCAGAAAAGTAAGGTGTTGACAACAGATGCATGGCCCATTGACGCAGCAGCCAGTAGAGGGGTGCGGCCATTGTTGTCAGTATGATCCACATCGGCTCCACCTTCCAAAAGCAGATCGACTACATCTACGTGTCCTTCATAGCCAGCCACCAGGAGAGGAGTCATGCAATCTTTGTCACAGTGGTCGACCTCTGCTCCTCTGTCGATCAACAGGCTCACAACCGATGCATGGCCCTTACTAGCAGGGACACACAGAGCAGCGACTGAAAGGGCAGTTCTCCCATCAACATCTTCATGGTTAACTTCAGCTCCATGGTCCAGTAGGTGCTCAACAATCTCTCGGTGTCCCATGTATGCTGCAGCAATGAGAGCTGTTCTTCCTTCATTGTCTGCTTTGTTGACCTCAGCCCCATGTTGCAGAAGGTTCAACACGATGTCTTCATGACCTCCCCAAGCAGCAGCTCTCAAAGCAGTTCTACCATCAGCATCAGCACAGTCCACTTTGGCGCCAGCATAAAGTAGAGCAGACACAACTTCTGAATGTCCACCCCAAGCTGCTGAGCGCAAGGCAGTCCATCCATCATGATCTGTGTGGTTTATGTTGGCCTCACAGCCAATTAGGCAGTTGACCACTTTGGTATGGCCCTGCCTCGCCGCAAGAGTAAGTGCCGTTTGTCCATGGTTGTCTTCTAGCTCCATGTTTGCCCCTCTTGATATTAGCAGGTTAACTACATCAAGGTTTCCACTGTATGCAGCATTGCCTAACAGAGTTCTTCCGCTGGAGTCACACTGGTTCACAGATGCCCCATTGTCCAGTAATGTCCGTATGGAGTCCTCTCTTTCAAGGGCCTGTTGTACAATACATGATGCGTGATCATCCTCATTGTTAACATGAGCGCCAGCTTTGACCAGAAGCTGCAGAACCTCCTGTTCTCTTGGTATAGAGGTGCTCAGAGAGTCTTTAGCAGGGGTTCCATTCCAAACCATCCAAAGAGCCAGATTAAATGGCTCAATCTGCAGATTGGAATTGACAAGGTGCAGTGCAAATTCCTGCACTTCGAGTGGTTTGAGCTGCTTTGCCCTGCATGTGTAACTCATCGCCAACATCCGATGTCCTTCTGCTGCATTGCACAAGTACTTCTGGGTGCAATGCTTAACATCCAGTAGCCACTCTGCAAAACTGTAGTGAAAAAGGATTTTAGTACTCCCAAGGCCATCAACCAACAACTTGGAGAGAATGTCCATCTTTTTCTGAAACTCTTCCATAGTCAGTGTCATGTTTTTGGTCCAGACTGCATGGTACAGTTCCTTGACTGTGAGCGGCCTGCAAGTTGCCAGGATTACATTAAGAATTGGTTGGACTTTGGCAAACTGTTTTCTGACAAATAGTCTCTGGCAGAGCCACAGGTAGAGGCCATTGAGAGTGCCAGGGATGTCGCGGATCTCACGAAGCATGATGAAGTTCTCCACCACACCATCCAGCACACGTTCCAGGTACAGGAAACAACCACTGCTTTTAATGTGGAGTTGGTTGAGCATCTCAGCAGTCTCCTTGGTCAGGTGCTGCCTCAGGGCCTCCTCTTGATCCAGCCGGTGAAGAATGTACTGTTGCACATCCTTGACGATATAGGCCTTGCGCAGATCATCAAGGCTGATTTTGCGGAATCCTGAAATAACAAGAAAGGACACTAGATAAGTTTGACAAATACATGGAGAGATAACTTGGTCACCATAGGAAAGATGCAAAGGATGGTTAAAGAATTCAACAATGATCTTTCCCACGTTTGACCTTGAAATCATCGCTAATATGTATCCACTAGTCATGTACCTTGGGGTAGTTAGTGCACTACACAGTGTTTAATGGCAAAATAATTTTAACTGTGTTACCAAAAAATCTATAATTTCAGTATAAATCTGACTGAAATAATGCAGGCAGCCTTAATAAAATAACATATACATATAGATATGTCTAACTATGTCTAAAAAAAAATCTTATTTATTTGATTTATTTAAACACTGAAGCCCATGTAATTGGTAATTCAACACACTGAAGGACTGGAGAGGCTGATAATCATCTGAAGCAAATCTGCAGTAGGCGCTGAAGAATCAAAATGGAGGAGAGCAATGTGTGTAACACTTCAATGGCCTGTAAAACATTTCTCTAATGCCTCACTTATTGTGCGACAAGCAAGCTCCACACACAGACCTCCAGAAATCCTATTGAAAAAAAAAAAAAGATTATCACAGTTGGTCTTAATGAATGACATTTAATGGGAATCCCTCTCCGAGACGTGGAAAATGGCTCCATAATGGCCTCAGCTAATGGGCATCAAGTGAACTTTCCTCTATGTTAAAACAATCTGTGCATGGTCTGTGCAGCCTGCAGCCCGAGGGCATGGGGAGCATTTCTGCATACTTTTATTTACAGTTCCCATGGTTCTCAGGGTTACTGGGACAGGAAAAAAATGTCACCAGAGGCTCTTTTAAAGTTGTTGACATACTGATTTTTTCCACTTACTAGCAAGCTCCATACTATGGGAAAAGCATTTGCGTTCTGCTCTGTAAAATGGTGCACTTATACGCCGTTCTGTGTTATTTACATTTAGTTTTAGGGCCTCTCATTATTGACAGAGCTTGTCATGTATGGAAAAGAAAGGTTTAGTTTAAAAACATCTGCAAAATTCAGCACCAAAACTTTTAAAATGCGATTGCTTTTATGATGCAATAAACTTTCCCCTGTGCATAATATGAATGAGACCCTGTCACCAAACCTGACGTAGTGCTCTGCTCATCTGACTACCATTGTGCGGCTAGAAAAGGCTGTGAAATCTTATTCCTCAAAGGCCCACTGGTAAATACACACCTGGAAGCCAGATAACAAACCTGATGAATTTAACAAGGGTTCCCAAGCAGATACCGACAGTCTGGACAACAGATCCCGGTAAACAGAAGGAGCGACGTGTTTCTTTATCACCTGCTTCTGAGTTTGTTTAAGATAAGCACACTCACCAAGAGCACCACACGATAATCTCCTCTCACTTTGTCCTTAAGGTATACGTTACATTTCAAAACTGCGATAAGACAGATGAAATTGGTTCCCAGATGAAACGGAAGCTTTCGCACCTCTTACGACTGTATTTAATTGTCCCCTTTGATACTTGACTAGAGGAGAAACCTACAGACTTTGAAACACTTTTAATAAATCACATTCTTTGGTTGAACTTCGTTACAGGCACCAATTATTTATTGTATAATATTATATGGGAGATTTGCTCACCCCAAAGACGTAGGGAGCAGTTATTGGAATTAACGACTTGATTATAATACGGACAATGTGAACTGTCCTGCCACAGGACTTCACCCGCTGATATAAAATCAATTTGCATTGTACTTTATGTGTCCCGCTGTAGCACTGTCTTTTCATTTTAATTTTTTTGTGATACAAAGCTGAAAAAGCAGGAGATCGCTCTGAGTCTTTCTTTAACTTTCTTAATTTTGTCTGCACTCAACGACGAATTCCAGCAGCAGCAGCAGCAGAAACATGTGGGAGAAAACACAAGCAACCCCACATGGTTATCTGAGTCTGTTTTATAGCTTTGTCCTTGGTATATATCCAGCTTGGTTCGACAGCCTAGACTCGAACGAAACCCGAGATAAAAGTCAAAACAATAACCCCCCCACTTACCAATATTTTAGCTACAGATGTAAGTTAATGTATAACAAAGGGAACAGCTGTGCAAATGGTTTAAATTAATAAAGCTATAAAGTATCACTCGCAAGCGCTGCACCATATAACAGCCTGATAATTACAGCAACTCGATGACCCTAACCTACTTTCGGTCCGTCTTTGTTTTCAGCAACTGTGTGCACTTTTCACACTCCCTTTACTCTCTTTCCTCCAGCTCCCTGACCTCCTGTACCAGCTCCCACTCCAGCGCTCCCAACATTACAAGAGCCAGATTCATGGTAAGCATGCAAAGTAGCTACAAGTAAGTAGAAGTCTTTCTGTCTGTGAGAACTAAAAAGCATTAAGGTTTTTTTTTTTGTGTATATTTCAAACCTTTGCTTCAAAAAAAAAAATGGACTGATTACTCATTTTGACAGCATCCTGGGGAGAGCTGTAATGGGTTATTATGACTCTGGGGTTACCTTAAGGTTTATATCAAAAGACACAGCAACGATTGAAGGTACCACACAGCCCTAATGTGCATTCCTGTTCTCTGTGTACTCATTACGGCTCAAACTTCAAGCACTGCGGATCAAATTTCAGCCCATCACGCTATCATCAGAAGATTCCTAACTCTTCCCCTCTTCATTTTCTCTAGTTTCATGTCAGTTTCTTGATGTTTTTTTTTGCTTTGCTTGAAGGCTAAACTATGTGGTGTGCACGCTTACTTTCCTTTTTGCTGGATGTCTGATTTTCAGATCAGTGCACAATCACACGGGCCTCAGTTGACACAAGCACGCAGCAACAAACTTTGCATTTACACTTTACGTTTAAAGCTAGACATCTGATGCTCGATCTGTCTACGAGTGTGACTTTCTGATGCTCTGACGTCAATGGCTGGTCCTCCTACTTCTTCTGGACCTAATCCTTCTTTGGATATTCTGGGTTAGCTCCAGCTGGGACAGGAAACCCACGAGCTGAGATGGGGGAAGAGGCCATTAAAGGGAAAACTGAGGACGAAAAAAAAAAAAAAAGGACTTGAGGGGTTCAAGGGGACCAAAAGAAAACTGGTTTTTCACCCAGCCAGCGACTTCAGCAAAGTGTGACATCTAATATTATGTCTTGATGTTGATTTGTTCTATTCGCAGTGGGACTAAGAAAAACATTGGGTATGCATTACAGCCCAATTCTGGAGATGCTACTCTATCATGAATATTTTCTCTGGGGAACACAAGAAAAATGCTTCAGTGCTGTAGTTTATGATAAACAGTTTCTCCTACATTCCACGGTCGCTGACACACCAATTATGAAGACACAGTGAATAGGAAAGCTGGAGGAGGGAGGAGGAGATAGAAATTTGACTGCAGCCACTATGAAATAAAGCACTTGCCTAGACTTAAAGAAAGCTTTTTAAAAAAAAATCTATTTCTAAAAGCAAAAAAATTAAAGAGCAGACAAAGCAAGAGCGTTTGTTTAAAACGCACCCAAAATAAATTTTCCTCCGTTACTGTACGCGGTGGAGGGTGGCCTACAATTTCCATTGAAGTCATCAGCAGACATCACTTCATTGGATGTCAACTGTGAAGTCATGGCGTTATTACTGCCCAGCTCCTGCCGATAAAGCACTAAAAACAACCACAGGGGGAAAGTCATCCAACCTGCATATGATGGCTGTGGTGTAACAGCAACTACTATTAAGTACCATACAAGAATGCATGAACTCTCATTGGCTACAAATGTTCAGATGCTTTCCAAGAACCATTTTCTTTCTTTCCAAACCCAGCAGTCATGAAGGCCTCGATTCTGCACCATTATAAGTAGGCTACACAAACTCGAGCCGAGTATTGTGTGTGTTCAAGTTAGTTACGTGTGTGTGTGTGTGATAGGATGGTTCAGACCCTGAACAAAAGCGACTGCTAAACAAGCAACAAATGACACATTCATCAGGGTGAGGGATGCAGCTCCCGAGTACAGGCCTCTGAGCCAGCTGCTGCTCGTTACAGAACTGGATACCGGCCACAAGAGACAGAGCCTCATGTACAAAAGACGGACTGTTTGCTTTCTAGATTAATTTTTCAGATGACAAATGAGACGGCGTGCGTGTGTGCATGCGTGTCGACAAACTAGAGGTCCGAGTTCATCAACCCGGGATTTCGGGATGGCAGCTCCTCAGCTTCGGCACGTTCTTTTGCGAGACACCATCTTAAGTCATTGGATCCATAAAGAAAACAGAAACCTAAGCCTCGCTGCCCTCTCCTCAGGCTCCCCAGTAAACCCGCGCTCAACAAACGTCTGTTCGACAGCTGCAGCGTTCCCAGCTCCAAAAAACATCAGAGCGCCAACCTCCTAAACACAAGTATGTGGATGAGAGTCAGCTCCAACGGTCTGCAAACAACAGTCCTTTGAAAAGTGTGCTGCCATTTAATCTTTGAAAAATACTGTCAAGTTCCTTGTTTGATTGCATATACGCTCTCATTTCGGTCGGATGGAGGCAACACTTTCTACTTTATCTTGGACAAATGTAGCTTATTCACAAGTGAGAAAAAGGCACAGCCAAGAACTGAGAGGCTTTGACTCTATTTGGGGCCTAATTTAACTGCAAAGATAACTGTGGCAGGGGAAATCATTTCAGATAAGCAGCTACAGTTTATGTGCCCTTTATATTTTCTGCCATACTAAACGACCACCAGGCGAGACACTGAAATTATTACACTTAAACAATTAATTTATGTTAGCTTGGGGCACAGCACATGAAAACACTCCTGCCCAAACACGCCTCTTGCTGAGTTTCAGACGGGATGTAAAAGGGTTTCCAGTTAAACCTGTTGTAGGCCAACTGAACAGAGCTAATGTGCTGGGGGGTGGGGGTGGGAGTTAACAGGAATACATTTAACACATGTAAAACATGGCTCAGACGTGAGGGTGCATTCTGATAAAACTATCAAACCACCTGTGCAAGGAATAACACATCAATCACACAACCATGTGAGCACAACACGG